AATGTTCCAAAAGGATCTCTCCGCCCCAAGGAGAAGCAAAGGATATGATGTGTGTCGTCGAGTCTCAAGTGCCCCAGCGATATTGAGACTCGGAAGCATCAAGGTAGTGTTGCCATGATGACTTTGATGCTTGTTTGAGAAGGTCCGAGGCCGAATGTATTGACTAGCCAGGGACGCGAGCGTGGAGTAAGGTTGACAACTTGAAAATGCTCCTGGATGAAATAGCTCGCAAATTACGGATCGATTTGTGATGTGATGATTGATTTGCTTTGTGATCCGTTGTCGCGTCAGTTTCCCCATCTTCGATTCCCCCGAATCGCGATTTTGGGTACTGACACCTGACACCAACGTGAAGGTGCGACATGTCAGGCTGATTTTTTAATGAGGTTGACTCCTCGGGAACCACTTGGGAGGGCGGCAAGTGGATGGATGGGGGAAGGGGGGCGGGGATGAGAAAATAATAGCCTATCCGGGGCGGCTCGCGGTGTTCGTATCTATGGGCATGGGCGGCGCGGAACTGTCTGGCCCAGAGGCCCTAGCGATAGGGGCGACCAGAAGAGAAGACCGAGAGAAGAGGCGGCAGCAGACGGAAGAGACGGCAGAAGACGACGACGACGACGACCTTAAAACTCCGTAGAGTAGGCGTGGTGGCGGCGGGGAGGAAGCGGCTGGAGCTCGAATTCCTCGTATAAACCACGAAGGGCCTCGACCTCCTCCATGAAGGCGCGGGAAAGAGGGAGGTCCGACTCGTCGCTCTTGCCGTACTGCTTGACGTAACGCGGGACAACCCAGAACAAGGGCCAGACCCAGCGACTATGGCCAAGGGCCGCGCGAAGGTTGCCGTCGGTGCCGAGGTCCCACGGGCTGCGGTGGACAACATGGTGCTTGAACGATCCGTCGGGCAGCTGGATGACCATGGGCCAGCTGGGGCGGCTTCGTCCTTGGCTGAACTTGACAAACTCGCGATTGGGCGAGTTCATGCAACCAAGTCGCTTCCATTGCTTCACGGCCGGGGCAAAAAGCACCAAGCTGATCATTAGCGGGAAGACGGCGACGAGGACGGCGAAGAACTGGCGCGAGGACTGGGACGGCAACGTCAACGACCAGCCAAGGATTGCGAGGGCGACCGTGTGGAAGAGCGGCACATAGACCATCACCAAGAGGTATGGTTTGATGGTATAAGCACAAACGGCTGTCCACAGCCACCAACAATGGTGGTCAAAGATCGGCAGGCAGCCGATGTGCTTGCCCTTGTCGGTCATGCAATGGTAAAATCTGTCAAGGATGCGGGGTCCTTCTTCAAGGAGGCGGGGTTCCCTCGCGCATGCGATGCAGATATTCGCACGGTTGCCTTCTCTCAGGCGGCGTAACGACACGGAGCCCAGATCGCAAGCTTGCATCACGATTTTTGGACCGAAGTCCGCGGACTTTGGCAGCCGGTGGCGTCGTTCGATCTTCCAAGCACGGATCCACAGCGTGGCCAACGTGCCGGCGAGGAAGAAGAGGCAGACTGAGAAGAGGCCGAACAGAGCGAAACCAACATTGCGATGGTGGGCCGAGAGAGGGGCGACGATGTCGTACTCAAGGTACCATGGCAAAATTAGGTCCACGACTATTATCATGTTTAGCATGAGACCCAATTGTCGAGAAAACAACCATAACTTACAGAGAAAGTTGTAGACCGCGACAGACGTGCCGACTACGTCGAGCACTAGCAAAACGGGGATCCACCGGCAGAGAAACGTCCAGGGCACCGCGATGCAGAGAAACAGCCAAGAGTCCATCTTGTCGGCGGCAGCGGCGAGGGACGGGAGGGGCAGGGGACGACGCAGGACGACGACGACGCGGGACGACGAGGACGACAGAGACGGGGAGCAGCAGCAGCAGCAAAAGCAGAGACGGCGATGGCGGCGAGGAGGGCAGATCGGGGGGAAAAGCGAAGGCGAAGGCAGCGAAACGAAAATTTCCGAAAAGAAAAAAGGCGAGGCAGCGCTCGGTGACGTGCGGAAAGCTTTTTTTTTTCAAAAAAAAAAGAAGCTGCTATTTTCAAACCAGTTAGTTACGGCTGCGAGACAAAAAAAACAAGATCCATTTCAAATGGTGGGGGTTTGGACATACCGTCGCGAGATCACGAAGAGAAGAAGAGAGAAAAAAAAAAGCCAGGCAGGACGAGATCTGGCGATATCTACTCACGTCCCCGACGGGCGGGTGGGGCAGCTGCGGTCGCCTCGCTTAAGTCTGCCTGCTTTGAGAGCGGCAACCGCAGGTCGGAAGGGGACTCCTTCCTTCTCGGCATTGGCCTGGGACTCGCACGTAGGCTGGTGGTTCCTTCCTTCTCTCTCCCCTACACCCAAGTCACGAAGCCCACAGGAGGCGGCAGTCGCATTTGGCTATGGGTAATCAGATACCTTCAAACTACAGGTACGGCGGGGGATCTCATTGCCGTTTCTCAAAGTTTCTGCTGAGGCTCACTCTATACCAGATGTATGATGTGATGCTATCCCGGTGATGCCTGGTACAGATTTGTGTGTCTCGCCCAAACCCGAAGGGGCTGGTCAGTGGCTCTTTCTTTTCGGACCATTCGGTACTTCACGAATTCAAATAAGCCCACAAGTCTTTCAAGTTCGAGAAGAGACCAGAAGGTGCCAGGCCAGTCAGGCAGTGGTAGAAATTATGACTGCCCATCCTTAGCCAGGCTGTGCCAGCATGCCACCACAGAGACACAAAATCAAATGGAGAGACGGCATCTAAGAGCACCTGAGAGCTTAAGCACAACCCAAGTCACTCGACGTTCCACATGCAATAACGAGCATGGCTCATGAGCGCCTGCTCTGCTTCGGGGAGGCGATATCGCAACGGACGGACCACCACTTGGTAGATGATTGTCACCTCATTCTCAGGAAAATTCTTCCCGTATAGAAAGAAACGCAAAAGACAACAATGCGACAGCAGAAAGCAGTTGATCTGTACTACTCAAAGAGACTGGAAGGGGGCATGCTATTTTTATTGGGGATGGCGCTTTTGACCTTGCAGGCTGACGCAGCTCAATGCGTTTCCTTTGCGGATTATTCTACTAATTCTTCTTAATCATGCAGATTGAAGGAGAACTTACGCAGGCATTCGGTCTTTTCTGTCCCCTTTTTCTTTGAAAAAAAACACCAAAACAGAAAATACGTTTTTGTTTTCATTCCATGACCAACCTATCTGGGCGCGTGAGGTTGGTGTAAGCTTCGCCTGTTACATAAGCAATGCAGGCCGTCCATAGCGGGTGCAGGGACCAGGGACCACTAACAGCACGGTCATCTCCGCCCACCTAAGGTAGCCCGCCCAAATAGGCCGGATCCGACCACCGGACAGACGTGCGGCGGGGGCGGAAATGGAACTGGCACTGGATTTCGGCAAAATGGGGTCTTGGAGGTGGCGGGGCTCTGATTCATATGCCGCCTAAGTTGGAACTCGTCATTTTTTTCAGGGACGATTTTCTCTTCACTTTACTTCCCATGTGAATCGATAACGCGCATAGTCGTAGGGACCAAGCGAGTCCGTTATACGAGTCGTATCTCAAGTCGTGTTCATGCCATGGAACACTCGCAAAGGCTTTCTGCAATGTTGGCTGGCGTGTATTGATGCACCTACGATCAAAAAACAAAGTCGGTGTCTCGGTGTTGTTTTTCCCCTACCAAACTAGAGACATCATTGAATGATAGAGTGCGCAATTCACTTCGATGCACCAAGTCATTTGGTATTTCTCGTGAAACCTTTCTTTTTCTCATGTTTTGATTCGATGACAGTCACCCTTATGGGTAGCAGAAATGGATAGCAGGACGAAGTGTATGGGCAACCTTGTTGTAATTAACGGAGATACCCTGGCTTTCAGCATTTATGAAGCGCCAATCTCTCGACTTTTTCTCTTACTCTCCTAGACACCAACACACCGGCTCCACCACAAAACAAGCATACAAGTCATCGTCAATCTACCCCGTAATATCATCATAATATACGACAGTCCACATACACAACCTACCCCAATGAAGATTAACGCCGCTTTAATCCTCGCGACGGTTGCCGTCAGCGTCTCGGCGGGCGGCCCCAAGAACAATTCCCCTCGGTATACGGGCTTGGACAAGATTCCCAACAATGAGCCACTGCCCCTCCACCAGGCGCCCGACTGCTACCAGAGCTGTTTTCAGTCGACGAACCACGCACTCACTGGGGACATCAACACCGTGAACCAGAGAGACTTTTGCGAAGACAAGTGGACGCACTTTGATTGGTGGTTCAAGACGTGGATGATGGGATGCGCCGTCCAGAATTGCCCCAAGGAGGATCACCATAAGGTCCGACGATGGTTCGACTCGATGTGCCGGAGTAAATCCTGAACGGCTTGATGAATTGTCCAGGGTGAAGCTCCTAACGCGTAGCGCAGCGGAGCAGCAGGAGCGAACGAAGGAGTTGCGGGTGCAATATCAATATGAGGATGCTCTTGGCTAATCGCCCGTAGCTTCAGTGATCTTGGCGAATTAGTTGAGTAAACCGGAACTAATGTAAGGTTATTCCAGTAGGATGATAAGAAGAGCTTTTGAGGGCAGGTAGGAGGGTTACACTCCCGCTGAGGAATGACGGGAATCAGTGCCGAAAGTCTAACTTCTATCGTAGTTTCACTTGAGAATCTAGAGGTTGAGAAAAATGCTCAAAACTTCATAAGCAACTTTCAGTACACAAAGTGAATGGCCGCAAGGGTCGACATGTATGGGTTTCTGCAAAACACATCGGATTTACGTTTCGTTCAGGATATATACACATGTCGGCTACTCGCCCGAGCTGAACGAGCGCTTTCCTTCTACCACACAGCACATTGCAACCCAGCAACCCAGCAACCCAGCAATCTTGCAGCCCAAAAGTCCGCCAACCTAGCAGCAACACAACTACAACACCGGAAATCGCCAAGCATATTTCTAATCTATCCAAACCATATCTCCCCGATAAATTATTTCCACAAAATGAAACTCAGCGTTTTCTTGTCCGTCGCCATCATCGCCACGAGCGTCAGCGCAGGCAGCCACGGCTGGAGCCGCCCCAAACACCTGGACAAGATACCCCAAGACAAGGGCCTACCCCTTCATCAAATTCCTGAGTGCTGGCAGGGCTGCTTCCAGTCCACGAACCACGCCTACGGCGGCGGCGACTTCAACACAATCAGCCAAAGGGACTTTTGCGAGGACAAGTGGGCGCATCTTCGCTCCTGGGCCAAGACGTGGGGTCACACCTGCGGCATGATCGAGTGCAAAGACAAGGAGGACGGCTATCGAATGGTCCGCTGGTATAACTCCATATGTATGATTTGAAGGTGGCATGGTCATGAGTCTTGACGCTGGGGGCACGCGTTGGGCCAGGGCTATCAACAAGGGAAGGACAGGACATAGAATCCACACTACCCTATTTTCGACTTTTCTTTGGGAAGTTGCAAAAAGGGTGAAGTATAGTCTTTACAAGCCACATTATTTTCGGAAATCGGTTTAGGCTTTGGCAAGCGCAGAGCATATGGGGGAACAGCAAAATCTCATTGCGTTATTGGGGTTAGATGGTCCCCGCCATTTATTACTGGTTGGCGGTTAGTCAAATCACAATCTCTTTACGCCACCATTCACTCGCCTGCCCATGTCTTGAACGCACTCATCTTTGAACGCAACCGATTGAACAGCCTTCCACGCTACCATGTTCTGACCTTGACGGTGGGCGTTGCTTGTCAGACGCAGCCCCCTTCTAATTATCGACCTTCAGTGATAGAGTGAATCGTCGTAGGGCAGATAGATGCCCTTCCGAAGGGCACCTAGTGTGGGCGCAATCATCAGTCTTCCCTGTGCCCACAGATTCAACGGTTGTCGGTGCACAAGTACTATAAATAGAATAACAGAGCCCTGCAAATTACTCTCAAGCCCACAAATGCAGTGGTAGCATCGATCAAGTATTACATTTTAAACTGGTATGTCCTGAGAAGATATCGCCTTTGTCACTAACGAGAGAGCCAGAAGGCCGCCTGATATATCGTCTAATACCCAGCTCGCAGGTACACGTTGTTATAAATACCGAAGTATTCCGCTGCAACAACGATAACAAAGCCACAGTGAAAAGAGCCCGTCCGGAGCAGTTGAGTACGCCATGGGTAATCGAATCTCTGCTTAAACCTCAAGACTTCAAATTTGTCCAGAGCTTCTGGAAGTTTCCCCGATTGTCTGTGTATCTCGTGTTTCCATAATGAGTTTCAGTCGCCCACGTCACCCGTCACCTGTTCGGTGTACTGCTTATCAAAGGATAAATACCACCAGATTTCAACAGCCAGAGCAGAGACAATGCATTGAGACTTTTGGACCGATTGCAAGAATAGCAGGGACACGACAGAGACGATAGAGACGATAGAGACGATAGAGACGATAGAGACGATAGAGACGATAGAGACGATAGAGACGATAGAGACGATAGAGACGATAGGGACGATAGAGATAATAGAGACGACAGAGACGACAGAGGTGATAAAACTACTAATATGCAATGAGCTTTCAGAACTAACATAATACTTATCCGCCCGCGTAGCAAGACTCCTCAGATTCCTTATCTTTGTCATCCTTGACTTTCATCTGTTGCTGCAGTTAAACGCAGGTAACCTAGGTAGAGTACCCCGAGTTGAGAAGTCCAAGTCGTCATCTGCCTTGCAGGAGACTGCAGAGTCAATCGACGCCAAAAACGCATCATATTTCTAAGATGCTACTCTGTATATAGAATACACTCTCAGAACAATAGCATTCCACCTCTTTCCCCCTTTATCCAAAACCAGCCCGACCGACCAACCGGTCACTCATCCAAGAAGTCATGTCAATCATTAATCTCGTGTCCAAAATTGTCTTTATGACTACACCCCCGGAACGCTTTAGCAGATGGCATGCGTTTTGCCAGTCTTACCCTGCAGGGAGTGCTTTTCCTTCTGTAACCAGCAGTCAGCAAGATCCGCCTCTCGCGCACAGGGGGTTGGGGACAAACTCTGAACTTTGGGTGGTTGTGTGACGACTTGGTGCTCGTGAGGTGGTGCTTGTGGATGAAGTCCTGCTGGCGCTTGATGCTCTCCTGGTCCATCTGCTCGAGCAGGCCCATGCACAGCTTGATGTCCGTGATGAGCATGTCGCAGCGGCTCTTGCTAAAGTCCTCGCGGACGACGACGCGCAGCATCTTGAGGTCGTTGGTCTTGGGCGCCATCGTGTACGCGGGCACGACCCAGCCGCGCACGCGCAGCTGGTGCGCCAGCGCGAACTCGTCGTAGTTGCGGTCCTCCTTCTCTGGCAGGCGGAAGGCGACAAGCGGCAGGCCGGCGCCGGAGCGCTGGGACATGATGGTGAAGCCCAGCACCTCAAGGGACTGGGAGAGGTAGTCGGCGGTGCGGGTAAGGTTGGACATGATGGCGCGGTAGCCCTTCTTGCCGAGGCGGATGAGCTGGTAGTACTGGCCGATGACCTGAGAGGCACCTTTGGAGAAGTTGAGGGTGAAGGAGGCCTGGTCGGCGCCGAGGTAGTTGATGTTGAAGACGAGCTCCTGGGGGAGGAACTCGGCGGCGCGCCAGACGATCCAGCCGACACCCGGGTAGACGAGGCCGTACTTGTGGCCAGAGACGTTGATAGAGACGACGTTCTTCAGGCGGAAATCCCACTCGAGGTCTGGGACGACGAAGGGAGCGACAAAACCACCGCTGGCGGCGTCAACGTGGATGGGGACGTCGAGGCCCCTCTTCTCGAGCAGGTCGTTGACAGCCTTCACATCCTCGTACTCGCCGGTGTAGGTGGTGCCGAGGATGGCGCAGATGCCGATGGTGTTCTCGTCGACGAGGTTGACCGTCTCCTCGGGGTCGATGACGTAGCGGTCGGGGGTGCAGTAGACGAGCTTCTCCTCAATCTCAAAGTAGCGGGTGGCCTTTTCCCAGCAGACCTGGACGGCGGAGGACATGACGATGTTGGGGTGCTCGGTGCTCTTGCCCTCGGCCTGGCGCTTGTTCTTCCAGCGCTTCTTCATAGCGAGAACGCCGAGCATGATAGCCTCGGAGGAGCCGACGGAGGACGTTCCGACGGCGCCGCCGTGCTCGCCCTCGCCCTGGGGCGCGTGGAAGAGCTTGCCAATCATGCTGACGCAGCGGTTCTGGATGTCGGCGGACTGGGGGTACTCCTCGTAGTCGATGAAGTTCTTGGGAAAGGACTCGCACATGAGCTTCTCAGCTTCATCTTCCTGGATGTGGGGGTCAGCGTGGGAGGTCGAATGCGGGGGTGGGCCATGGGGTTTGGCGGCTGTCAGTTCTCACCATATATGTCGTCACGAAGGAGGCCAGGCTGTCTATCGTGTCAGATCTCTGGCGTATGAAGTTACAGGGCTGAGGGAGCTCACTTCATCATGGGGTTGCCGTCGAGGCTGAGCTCGTCCTTGATCATGCGGTAGGCGACGTCCTTGGGCATCTCGTCCTCGGGCATCTCACGCTTGGGCAGGTCCTGGTTGGCGAAGCGGGAGCCGTAGACGCTGGTGGTGTAGCAGTCCTCGTGGTCGGCGAGCTTGAGCTGGACGTCCTTGAGCTTGTTCATGACCTGGGCCAGGTGGCCGGAGGACGAGTCCTCGGAGCCCGAGTCGGGGGGCGTGGCAACGGTTGCGAGGTGGACCATTTTGAGACGGCGAGAGGGTGATACGAAGGAAGAGGTGAATGGGTAATGTTGTGAGGAGAAGCAGCTTTCGAACGGCGTCGAAGAGGCGGACGAGGGACGACGTTTATAAGAGAAGACGGAGCTGGGAGCTTTGGCTGTAGCTGAGTCTGAGCTTTGGGCAGACGAGGCGAGGCGAGACTGTCAAGCAGCAGTGGATGGGACGATTTGTTTATGGGCGATGAGAGAGCGAGAGAAGGGGAGAAGAGAGGAGAAAGGAGGGCATCGAGTAGTCTCGGCGGAGCCAAGCCAGCTGGACGCGGGCGTGGGCGTGGCACTGCATGCCGCAGGCCAGGTCCAGGTCCAGTGCATCAGGGGGGCAGACAAGGACAGGGCCAGATCGGGATAAGGTGGAATGGGTGCTAAGGTACTCTCTGCAGCGTACGCTGGTGAAGCCCAAGCTCCGGTACCCAAGGCAGGAAAGCTAAGCTGGATACGCAAGTTGGGAGGTTGCGTTGCCGTGGTGGTGGTGCGGCGTGTAGCAAGCTTGTAGCTTGCGGCAAGAGAAAGGCAATGGCAGGTGGGGTGATTGAGCGAACCTGAAGCCGGAAGGCGGGGCAGGAACGCTGACGGCACGCTACGACTAAGTCAGTACATGGGAAGGTGCGGTGTAGCCGGTACGTACATGCCGAACCAGAGCTACCTTACCTCTTACCTAGCTTGTACATCATCGACGATGACATCCACAGCATGCAAGCCATGCAGAAGGCCAGGCAGGGCAGTTCCAACAGCGGGGTCCCAAGTCGAAACGAAGGTAGGCCTCCCTGACGAATTTCACCGAGAACAGAAGCTGCAATGTTCCCGCTGAATACATCGGATAACGATACGTGTCCCAGGCCCGGGAGCTTATCCCAATCAGAGGGGGGGCACAGAACTGCGTCAGCATTGGATGATTTGATCAAAACTCCGATAGCAAGATGGAATAAAAATAACCCCAAAAAGTAAACTCAGCAATGGGAACAGCATATTATCCGCAAATCAGAAAAGCACGGCAAACGAGATGAGTTTTCGCCCAGCCCGCGAGACCCGAGTCTGAGTCTGTCTCTCTCTATCTCTCCTGTTTCCAGCAGAACCCGAAAAGCACATGTTCCTCGTCTGTTGTGGACGAACATCCCAATGTGCCCCCTAACTCTCTCTCAACAGAAGACGGACAAGGAGAGGAAAAGGGCGGCCTCCTTCAATTCTCTCTCACGGCTGCCCACGTCTCACTACCCACATGCCTCACCCCCCTACCACCCCTCCTCCAACCAACCGGATGAGGTGCAGCTGGGAAGCTTTCCCCAGGTCCCAAGCCAAACATCCCAACCACGCCCAGCACCCAGCATCCCAAAAAACGCGCTACGCCCAAAGCTTGGCACGGGTTGACAGCTTCGGCTGGCCCACCACTGCAACCGCCCACCCGCCCCAGCAGGTGCCGCCCTGGAACGAGCCGCTCCCACCCAATCACCCCCCCGTGCCGGTCTTCCGCCACAGCGGCCCTGGCCCCGGACCTGGGACGCCTCCTCCACCAACGATCACCGCCGCTTCGTCAATCACTCAAAGCACTCAAAGAGCCGTCTCCTCCAGCAATATCCATCGGCGGGCTCGACTCCTCTCAAAACTTCTAAAAGGATAACACGGCTCGGATGTCAATGCCTAGCACCAAAAACTCACAGCCACTCCAAACATCAACCCAAAACATCTCACTCAGGGGGAGGGAGGAAAGCAAAAGTCCACGGTAATACATTTATTTCCCTCAGAAAGCAAAAATGACATCACCACCACCCGTTCATCCACCCGTCAAGCCTCAAAAATCACCTCAGCCCATTCGTTCCCAATCACCATCCCCCATGCCCATCCCAAATTTCCGAAATGGCATCCTCCGAGAAAAGCAAAAAAAGAAAAAGAGGAAACCAAACCCCGGAATTTCAATTCTTCTTCACCGATTGATCCAAACCCCCAAACGCCCGCCGATAGACCCCCCACGCATCACCCCGACGCCTCAACCTCCGTTGTCCCCTGTGGCTTAGCCCCCCCAAAGCCGCCGACTGTGGTTCGACTTTGGCTCTCGTAATCTTTCGCAACCCCCTTCGAAACCACACCTTGTGCTGCTCATCCCATCTCTCGGTGAAGGAGAACCCGACCCAGCCAGGAAAATTGATGCCCTACAAACACATGAATCTACTACTACTCTCCTGTTCGGGCCGCCTCGCCCCCTATTGCCAGCACCTCTCTCTCACGAATCATCAGACCGGCCTTACTTTTTTCGTTTCTCGCCATCGTTACCGTTGCTTCTGGTTCCAGCTCATCCCGGTTTGCCCGAGCCTCATCTCGTCTGCTTTTTTCCCTTTCGGTTGAATGACAGGCGAACAGCTCCGTCAGCTTAGGCCTCAGGTTCACATCGACGCAAAGAGGCGAGCCTGTCTGTCACAAATACCGGCCATCTCGCTCCAAATAGCCATTCTGCTACTCACTGCTCGCTCTTTCTAGAGATACTCTAATCCAGGTCTAACCACTGCCTGGTATCATGATTGATCCCCTAACTAAACCAGAGTGAATCCCGATGTCTAATCTTAACACATGCATGTTGGCCGCCTCGAGAGCCGCCATTAGCCCAATTTCATAATCCTGTAATCCATTCGTCAACAGCCATTTCCTTGCCCTCAGCCCTCTGTGGTATCCATAGCATCACCCTGCACCTTGGCCTTGGCAGCCGCTATCTTCTCGGCCTTCCACGCTTCAATCTTGGCCTTCAACTCGGTGTGCGGGATCGCGTCGTCTATCGTCATCGCTTGTCGCGTGAACGGATCTTTGGGATCAGACAACAGATGCTGGACGATGGTCGAGCGGTCCACAATGTGCTTCGACGGCAGGGTCACAGGGTCCTTCATCAGATCGCCCATGATGGGGTCCTCGAACTCGGCAGGGATATCACCCAAGTCAAGCTCTGCCTGCTCCGCAATCTCCTTGGCCTCCTTGAACTTCTCCTTCAGGGTGTTGAACCTCTCCATATCCTCCGTCTCCTTCATGGACCTCTTTGACAGAATGTAGCTAGCCTTGTCAAAGTTGGCCGGCTTGTAGGAGCGACCGTCCGAAGCGACAGCTTCGATGAAAGCCTGTGACGAGCCCAGGTTGAGGTAAATGTCCACAAAGTCCGACAACAGCACTCGGGGCTGGAAGTGGTACTTTTGAGGATCGTTCACCTTGAGCTGCCCCATCTTGGGTCCAGCCAGAGTGTCCAGGTTGTAGTTCAACATGCTGGCCAGACGCTGCACGATCTCAGGCATCGTGAATGCAGACGACAGGGCGGATGTGAATAGCTTCATCATCGCCAATGTCTCGTTGGCGAGCTGCATGTACGAGGTGGCCTGGTTCTCAAGACCCGATAGCTCCTCTTGCTTCTTCTGTCTGTCCTGAGCAGACATGCTCTGGTCAGCCTCCAGTTCGTGCTGGAGGTTGTGGATCTTGGGAAATTTCGTCAGCGCCTCATCGAGAACGTAGGTGGCATCGTTGAGCAGAAGATTGACGAATTGCACGAAGAACTGTCGATTGACCCTGTACCCATGTTAACGGCGTTCCTCGCACCTACGACACGGCGTCGCGTCGTGCTGTCTTTCCAGAGCCATAACTTACTTGCTCTCTCTGGTGAGCTGCTGCTTGTAGACGTCATTGCCCCAGACGCACTTGATGACCTGAAAGATCTCGTATCTGATGTTGAACTTGTCGTAGAACTGAGTGTGAGCTCCAGTCGACTCTGCCTCGATGTAGAACTTCATCAAGGCGTGCAGCAGGTGATCGTTGGCAAACTTGGATCCGTAAAGCTGGTCGCCCAGGACACCCTTCTTGAAATGCGAAAAGGGCCAGGTTCCGGAGAACAAGAGCGTGACCAGAGACGACTTGAGGTAGGGGTTCTTGATGTACTCGGATGATCGGAGGAAAGCGATACACATGGCAATCATCTCACTGCCGACTGCGGACGGCATGATTTGGGGAAGGTATCTAGAAGATGTTAGCATTCGTAGCTGTACTGCTTTGTGAGAGACGCACCTGTAGACGAATTTGAAGTTGTCAACGACGTTCTGGAGAGCGTACTCGGGCAAGCAGGCAAATGCCTCCGGCGTCTGAGCGGGCAGCGGAAGTCTGAACATGGTCAGCGGTGGCTCGGAATGCGTGCGAGGAATAGGCAGTCATGGCAAAAACGTACTGAAGATCCGTGGTGTCAGGCTTGTAGTCCGTTTGGCTGGCAAGGCGCAAAAGCCAGACAGCAACGTAGCGCATGAAGCGGAGAGACAATTCCTGCATCTTCTCGTCGAAGAAGACACCCTCTATGGCGTATTTCAACGCAATTGCCTTATTCAGGACCTGGGTATGCCTCTTGAGAGTCACCTCGTACATAGCGAGTTGAGCGGGGTTCTGCATTGGTGATTAGCATTAGCACACGGCATCGCCGTTGCCAGACTGAGAGCTACTCACGTTCACCATCTTGTGACGCTCAGCCTCCATCTTAGCCACATGCGTCTCATAGAACTTGATGTCGCGCTCCAGATTCTTGACCTTTGCATTTGTGGCCTCGCTGCCGTAATGATGAGCGGCGAGAGTTAGGAAGAACACTTCAGAAATGAAGTTGGATGTGCCCTCAGCCTTCTTTTCGTAGAAAGCATCCGACGTCGCTTGGTCAGCGTTGATCTTGGTCTCCTCCTTGATGTCCACGCGAGGGCTCCGTCTGAAGTAGTCAACTTCGATTCTGTCAACCTTGGAGAAAGTCGTATCCATGAACGGCGAGCAGAATCGGTCGAGGATGGCTGTCAGGTTGGTCATGAACCCGTCGGAAGAGACTTCCTTGGCATCAACCTGAATAGCTCTACGCTTCTTGTTGGAGTTGATGGCGGACGCGAACCAGTCAAGGACGCGGCTTCTCGTTTCGCTGTCGGCTCGTATAAAGGCGTTGGCGATCGTGAACAATTCATCTTGGTGTACTCTCAAGATGGCGCGTAGTGCCTCCTGCGGCTGGGCTGCTTGTCTTCTGTCCAATCCTCGGGGGTTTGGGAAGTAGGTGAGCGTGACCTCGGATTGCAGTGGAGAGATCCGGAAGAACGGACCCAGGATGGTTGCCTTCTCAATGAGAGGACCAGAGTTTTGTGCAGGGAGGAAGTTGGTGTGCTGGGCCAGAGCATTAAGCAGTGGCGGGAACTTGGTATATGTCATCAAGGCCTGGTTGCGTCAGTACAACCGTTCCCAAAGGCTATCGTCCGACGCCTTGCCGGAACTTACATTGAGGTATGGCTTGTAATCGCCATCCATGGACATCTCTGACAACTTAAGGCTGAGGGTATTGATCGCCTCGGCGAACACCACTGGGTACTGCTCATCCTCAGGGAACCGGTTCACAGCTTCCCGCAGGAAGTCCAGACACACGCCGTCATCAGTGTCGTGGCCTCTCAGGAGACATGATGCCAGACTGTCAGGCTGTGATCGGCTGCAAAGTGTTAGTAACGGCCACTGTGAGTTGTCCCGTGGTAACTTACCCAAAAAGGTCAGGCAGAGTCAGAGCAAATAAGCAGTTGCTAACACACAATCTCTTCGCCTCGTCAAGCACCTCCCTCTTGTCCTTAGCCGTCTCCTTGACCGTGATATATAGGCGTAGAATGCGCTTGAAGCATGGCAACAGGAAGCCGAGAATGGACTTCTTGTGGTTCAGAGTCGACAAAGCCTCCAGCAGGGCACTGTCCAGAACGCTGGTCGTCAGCTTCAGCGCCGCATCTGACTCCGTCAGTTCGCTGTTCGCCCCCGGCAGAAACATAAGCTTGTGGCCATGGATATCGGTAACTCTGTGTGGATCGACAGTGATGCGGAAAATCTGTGTGAGGGTTCGGTCGGAGAAGTCATCGATGGACTCTTCTTGGACGACGGTCGGGCGCTTCGTGACGGGTGCTGGCGTGGTCTCGCTCTTAGCGGCTCGCTTCTGGCTATTGCCCTCGTTCGATTCGGCCTTGACGCCGAGCTGGTTGAAGGGGTTCGGCTGCGGTGTCGACGACGGAGTGATGTTGATCTTGCGCGGCTCTTCGGCGAGGCCCTTGCCCTTCTCTTCGGTTGGTGTCGAGGCGCCCGAAGCTCCGGGATTCGGTGATGTGTCGCCCTCCGGCTTGGGAGAGGTCCTGGCGGCAGAACCGAGCTTGGCCAGACGTCGCAACCGGATCTGTACAGTAGGAATGGTCAGCGAAAGTCCCGACTTGATCTTGCCCCATATCCGCGATTGCGTCTTCGTCCTCCGGGCTTGTGCCATCCTGGTCTCGATGTGTAGCTCCAATTTCGTGGTTGCGGGAAAGAACGTCGGGTAAGGCGGCAGAGATCGATTAGAAGAATCGATGAATATATAAACGGCGATTTCGAGGCGATCCAGGCGGCTGGGCCCAATCGAGCTGGTCGGCGATGTTGGGGAAAGGGCACCAGGGTCGCCGGCATCGTTGAATCGAGTTCCGACGTCGAAACATTGAATCGGTCAAGGCCGTTTGGAGGGGACCGGCAGAGAAGCTTTCAAGGAGCTGCGCGGCACCCAACTCAAGTCCATAAAGAAGCTTACCTCGTTCATCTTCGCCGTGTCAGGCGCATCTGGTGCCTGGTTCTCGTTGGGATCCATCTTGTCGTCGTCGGTCGTCTAGAGACAGTAGGACTACAAGCAGCGTACGAGGCAGGCGTGCCGATCCCGGGTGGTTCTTGGGTGCACAAGAAAAGGTTGTGAAATTGCCGACGCCTTGCACAAGGCTGAACGAAGCTGGGTAGGGTGCAGTGTGGAAGGTGAGGCCGGTGAGGTAGCTCAAGGTGGGCTGCGTTCAGAAGTGTTGACGTCCAGCAGGGCCTTGCAGTGGTGGGGAGGTAGTGCGGCGGCGGCATGGAGGTGCACACCGGGCGGTGAAATGTGGGGTGTGGACCAGTTAAATCCGACAAGGGCGGCCAGGCACCCAGCTTTCTCCGATTTTTAGCGGATTGTCCACTGGGAAATGCAAAGTCCACCACCAAAGTCCGCTGATGAGGTAAGGCACCGGGTTGGAGTGAGGGAAAGTGCACCCTGAACCTTCATTAATAATCTGGTCACAGCTGCCTTTAATGCTTGCCACTGTCAGCTTTCTAAGAGGTTCTACACAAACAGATAGCCAGCTACCTAAGGCAAGGTACTACTTGTGAGCCACAAACACGCAGTGAAGATCAATGAGGCCCTTGAAAGGCGTTTCCGAAGGGCTTATGTAATTATACACCAGGACTTCTTGTTATGTTGTTTCCTGTTTCAAGCGGCTTTGAGACCCTTAGACCCTTAACAGGTGATGCTCGTAGACGTCTGCAACTGCTTCAGATGAACCTACGCCGAAAAGAAGCCCATTGGATACAGCCCGTTTGAAGGTTTCTGATAAAACATCAACAGCGTCTAGAAACATGTTCCATATCTGGCCCACTCATCCGCGTCAAAATATCACGATATCGATTCAATTACTATGTGCTTCGAGGCATCCAAGACCTGCTGTAGCTTTTGGGATATAGCAACCGTTGTACGTGAGAACCAATTTTGTTTCAAAGGGCGGCCCGCTGCGTAGCGTGCCTGCCCCAAGGGTATTTCCGTGCCCATTCCGTGTCGTTGATACCGTGGGTCCCTCCAAAACGCCTAAATGTCCAAACAAATATACTAGTACACGACCTCGCGTGAGGTGCAAAATATATGGCCGGCAAATCCAAGCTAAATCGTAATAAGATGCCGTCGCTGGAAGGTGTGATGCGGTGGCCTAAAGGCGGGGTATACCATTCGACCCGTCGCTCAACCTCCTCGACGACGACGACGCCTCGCCGTCGCTGTCTGAACTGCCTCTCGTGCGGCTTGTCCCGCTGGCAGTCCGGTTGGCCAACCGGCTGCGTTCAACCTCCTCCCGGCTCTTATTCATAAGCCAAGCCATGTGCATCTTGAGTATCCCCAAGGTGCTTCTGAGCTCCGACATATTTTCTTTGATAGGTATGACGTGGTTCAGTACCATGACCGTCTGTCGACCCTCGAGGTCGGTGAAGTCCTTTCTAAGTTCTTCCATCCGACGCTCCATGTCTTCGTAGATGCTCATGACTGCTTCGGTCGGTTTTAACTTGGGCCCGCCCTGGACGTTGTTCAGGTTGAACACGTCGTCCCACGACATGCAGTCCCGCCTCTCATCCTTGAGTTCCAGAATCTGCCGCTCTTGGTCCTCCTTCACTTTCTGGAGCTTCTCGATCTGCTTCTCTTGATTCCTGACCTTTTCTCCGACGACGGCGACAACCTTGTAGATGCATTCATCCTCGTGAGCAGCGAGCGTTTTGCGAATCGCCTCGTGTTTGCAACCGTAGTCGCCGTATTTGCACGCAGCACTCGCCTCGGGGCACCGATTTGCGAGGTGTTGCTTCAAATCCGACACCCTGATCTTCTCCCCGCAGTCGGCGCAGGCCGTGGTATTCTTGGGGCAATCTCTGATGATGTGGTCCGCCATGGACGCCGCCTCCATCTTCTCCTCGCAGTACTCGCACGCCTCTTCAAAGTGCCAGCATTTTCCGGTGGCCGCCATCCACTGCTCCACTCTCCTATCGCACGTCTTGTCCGGACAGTCCTGCAGTGTGTAGCGACAGCCCATCGCATGCTTGACCACCTCCTCGCGTTTCATCGTCTCGTCGCATCCTCGCTCGGCATTGGGGCAGTTGACGACGAGGCTGTCGAGCATATTTGTCAAGAGCCTCGACGTCTTGCAGTCCTTGGCTCGGAACTTGGTCCGGTCGATGGGGCAGGCGTCGGAGGAGAAGAAATGGCGCTTCAGGCATTCGAGGCAGAAGGTGTGGTCGCAGGGCGTGATGACCGGGGTGACGACGGGGAGTTTGCAGATGGGACAGACGAGGTTATCATCGGGCTCTTCGACATACATCAAGGCGGAGAAGTCGACGAGCTCCTTGACCCTGTCGGGGGTGAGTGAATGCCGTATGGCTTCCCGCACTGCCAATTCCTCGACAGGCCATTGAGTGGGGTGTCGCGCTTGTTGTGGCTAGTCAGCGTGTCTTGTCCGGACCATCGCCTCTTTGTCTGCGAGTCTCAACTTACGCCCAAACGGGATGGGGACTTCCTCGACAGATCGGACTGCCTCCTCGACGAGGTTGTGGACGAGATGGGTGATGGTGGCATCGTCCTCGGGGGCGGCGAACGGCGGCTGTGGTGGTTGTTGCGACATGGTGCTGACGGGTTGTTGTCGTCGACTTTAGATCAGAAGGGGAGTTTCTAGGTGGCAGGGGAGATCATGATTGAAACTCTGGCGATGGAGTTTTATCGTAGTTGCGGTGAGCGTGTCCGGATCGGAAGTGGGTGTTTTCGTGGGACCGCTGGTGGCGCGGAGGAAAGGCTGAGTTGTGGAGGAGGTTTACAGTTGAGGCCCAATACGGAGTGGATGGGAAGGAAACGGCAACGAGTGAGGTGACGTCCAGCCCAGTGGAGGGCACTTCTTGGGCCGAGGGTCCGATAAGCACCCTGCCGATAACGCTACTTGCCCTCGCAACCACGGAGTGCTAGTCCGTCCGGTCCAGCACGGGTCCAAGTCAGGACCGGGCCTCAGTCAGGGTCAGTTGCAGGGCATTAGAGGAAACGGCCGCTAAAACACAGTGTTAGTCAGCACCCATGGCGGAAGGGGCACCGTCCCCGCATCTTCTGGGCCCCGGCATTGGCCAACTTGATGCTTTTCTCTGCCGGGAACACCAGAGAAACGAACATTCCCATGGCGAGCATGACATAACCGTTGTCTCCAGCAGCCCTCGATACGGGCAGGATGGGATGCACTTTGTCTTGGACGATGGCGAATGACAGCATCGAGCCACGTTACACGGGCGGAATACGGAGCCAAGACCGCCCTTGCATTTCTGCAGGCAGCCTATTGACCAGTTCTGTTGACCCTTATTCCAGTGTCTCTGCCGGAACGGGGAATAAGAAAAAAGGATGCTTCTGGACTCAGTCGATCTCATAACCGAACCTCAGCATCGTGGGTTTTTGGTGGAGCGATGCCGTCACAGCCATCGAGCTTGATCCAACAGCCCGCTTTGCTCTGAATATTGGACACATTGAGCAATACAGCATGTCAATCGCACAACCAAGTCATTCGTACCTTGGAGCCTCTCGTGTCTGATGTCCTCTTATTCTCGACCGAGGCCCGGCACTGTTCATGCGCTTCCGCGTCTCCGGAAATGTGAGGGCCGCATTGCGATCACTCCATCTCCCGGTTCAAAACCATGTCACCAATTGGTAATGGCAGATCTTACCGGCCTTAGGCGTGTAAGATGCAGAAAGCCCAATATGAACCGCAAGGCTGCCTCAAACCTCCTCATCAACTACCAAGCCAGCGGCTAACGGCACACAGGAAATCATATGACGAGCATGCCTATCCAGGCATCCATATCCTCTCTCCAACTCATCCCCGCACCTGATGACCCCAAAAACGGACCGTCGTAGATGCCTGCTTCATCCACCTGTATGACCTGCATATCGCCAACCCGCCATCTTAAGATATTACGTGAGATCTCGCCTTTCCACACAACACATCCAACAACACCTGCCTTCCCGCCCGTCCAGCCCCCCAAACAAGGAGACACAAACCCGAAATGAGCCGTTCGTACTTTTTCGTCCTCGCTGGTTGGCCAGAGTGGGAAACAAACCTGGGGGAAACCGGCCGGCAAGGCAAGCTGCATTTCATGCCAACACCCACAGCGCTAAGCGCAACGCCAACCGACCCGATGGATGGACGACCCTGAACCCCGAAACCCTGCAGCCTCACTTCAACCCCCAACCTCCGACAAGAGCCTGGCTTCTCACCAAAGACCCAAACCAAGCGCGAGCTGCATTAAACTACGACTCTCACCACTTAACCGAGCCGCGCGGCCGCTCCGACATGCAGACGACCCCATCACCTTCATTCGTTGCCTTGCGAGGGTGATGTCCAATATCAAACTCTCGGCACGTTTACAGCTAGGAAAGCGGCCGGTTGCGTGGTGGTACAGCGGGAGCTATCGCAAGCGCGTCAGCCCTAGCTAGCACATCATGCCGGGAGGGGGGACTTGCAGCTCAAGCTGATGGTGATGGAGGGTTGGCAAGCAGTCCAGCTGTACGGCTGAGCTGTTCCGTGAAGCAAAGCAAGCCATTTAAACCCAGTCAGGCCTCTGTCGATGAAAGATCAAGACAAGCTCCCCCTTCTCCAGTCATTCATTTCCCAGCACTCTCAAAAAACACCACGAGACCCATCACAGCCCTTCCAACATGGCAACCTACGGCGACCCCCCACCACCCCCTCTCCCCTCCACCTCCGCCTCCAAATCCCGCAAGAAAGCGCCCCAGGCCGTGCTCTCCGACTTCTGGGCCTCCTTCCACTCGAAACACCAGGGCAAAGTGACCTCCATCTTCCCCCGCGCCCTCTACGCCTCCCTACTGCCGACCGACCCGTCCCCGCGCGACGGCGCCTCCTCCTCCCTCAACGCCGCCCGCTCCTACGAGGCCGCCGCCGCCGACTGCCGCGCCAAGGTCAAGCGCATCGTCCGCGAGTGCGAGCGCACAAACGAAAAGTTCACCGACCCCGACTTCGACATCGAGCACGACCCGGAGTCCAACTGCCTCAACGGCCTCGTCCGCGACGGCGACGGCGGCATCGGCGACGCCTCCGGTGCCGTCGGCGTCAGCGCCTGGGACGTCAAGAACTCCCTCGACACTTTGACGGCTGCGCAGGTCCTCGGCCCGAACTCCACCATACCCATCGACCCCGCCGCCGTGTCCCGGTTCCTGGGCGGCGCCGGTGACATGTGGAGCCCGTTCGGCAACATCTCCACCTCCAACTCCAACTCCGGCTCCGGCGCCGCCACACAATCCGGCAGCAACAACCCCCGCACTCGCGGCATCAGCAGCTCGCGCGGCGTCAAGGGCTCCGAGTGGTACAACCCAGGCTCCATCCACCGCGTCGACTGGATCTTCGAGTCGCCACAGTTCACCGTCAACGGCTACTCCTCCTCGGACATCAAGCAGGGCGCCAACGGCGACTGCTGGTGGCTCGCGGCCGTCGCAACCATCGCGCACCGCCGCGACCTCATGACGCGCGTCTGCGTCGCCCGCGACGAGGAGTGCGGCGTCTACGGCTTCGTCTTCCAGCGCGACGGCGAGTGGGTCTCCGCCGTCGTCGACGACAACCTCTACCTCAAAGACAACGACTTCGACTACTACTCGGACGTCTACGACGCCTCCGGCAAGAAGGCCCGCCTCCACCGCAAGCGCAACCAGACCGGCAGCGACGCGCTCTACTTCGCGCGCTGCGAGGACCAGAACGAGACCTGGCTGCCGCTGCTCGAGAAGGCGTACGCCAAGGTCCACGGCGACTACGAGGCCATCTCGGGCGGCTGGCCCGGCGAGGCCGTCGAAGACATGACTGGCGGCGTCACCTCCACCATCGCGACGAACCGCGTCCTGCGCAAGGACAAGCTCTGGCGCGAGCTCGTAAACGCCGACGGCGAGTTTGTCTTCGCCCTCGCGGCCATGGGCACCGGCTGGGACTGGCAAAAGTCCGGGCTCGCGCTCGGCCACGCCTACTCCATCCTGCAGTCGCGCGAGGAGGTCGATGAGGACGGGAAGAGGGTGCGCCTCGTGCAGATCCGCAACCCGTGGGGCGAGCGCTCCGAGTCCGGGGTCGGCGAGTGGAACGGCCCCTGGTCAGACGGCAGCAAGGAGTGGACCCCCTACTGGCTCAAGAAGATGGACCACAAGTTCGGCGACGACGGGCTCTTCTGGATGGCCTACGAGGACATGCTCTCCACCTTCATGTACATCCACCGCACGCGGCTCTTCGACGAGAAGTGGACCGTCGTGCAGCAGTGGACGTCGGCCAACGTGTCGTGGGTCACGGGCTTCCTGCAGACAAAGTTCGTCGTCGAGGTGAAGAAGGCCGGCACGGCCGTCATCGTGCTCACGCAGCTCGACGACCGCTACTTCCAGGGCTTCGAGGGGCAGTACTACTTCGAGCTGCACTTCGTCCTGCAAAAGACAGACGGCACCTCTTCAGAGCCCGAGCAGATCTGCCGCGTCCGCCCCGTGCACAAGTGGGAGAACCGCTCCGTCAGCTGCGAAGTCACCCTCGAGCCCGGCACCTACGAGGTCCTCCCGAAGGTCACCGCGACGCGGCACAACGCGGCGCGGACGGTGGAGGACATCGTCAAGGACTACGCGGAGCGCAACCCGCAGAAGCTGCGGCAGGTGGGGCTGCAGTACGACATCGCGCACGCCAAGGGCGGCGTCGTCGACGAGGATGAGATCCTCGAGAAGAAGAACGCCGAGGCCAAGAAGAAGAAGGAGGACAAGAAGGCCAAGCGGAAGAGGAAGCAGAAGAAGGCGCTGGTGGTCGCGGCCAAGGCCCTCGAGGAGAGCGCCAAGGTCGTCTCCGAGCTTGCCGAGGGCGGCGACAAGAAGGATGACAAGAAGAAGGAGACGGCGGCGACGGCCAAGAAGGAGGAGGGCAAAGAGAAGGAGAAGGACGGAGACTGGACCGAGGTCAAAGACTCTGACAAGGAATCGACCGGCAGCACGGGGCTCAAGTCGCCGCCGCCAGAGGACAAGCCCGCGACGTCGCCATCGACTGCTGGCGCTAAGCCCGGCGATGCGCCTGTACCTGAGCCAAAGAAAGACGAGGACAAGAAGGAGGAAGAAAAGAAGGACGAGAAGAAGGTGGAGGCTACTGAGGAGGCCAAGCCCAGTGAGACCGAGGAGAAGACTGAAGATGCCGAGGTGCAGACAGAGGATGCCCCTGTTGAAGCCGTCGAGGAGGAGGAAGAATCTGATTCCGACTCTGAGACCGAGTCTGTCGTTGACGACGGCGAAGAGCCCGTGAACCCCCCTTGGAACGCCGTCTGCGTTCTCGGTCTCCGCGTCTATGCTGAGGACCCGGAGGTGGCCATCAAGCTGGTCAAGCCTGCTGATGATGAGGAGGCTTCTGCGCTGACTAATGAAGGTGAGCCCGCCGGTGCTACCGCGTAGATATGTGACATGATTTGATGAGATATGATGGGAATGTCAGCGATGGTTGTTCACTTATTGTATTAGGCGGATTGGCTATAGATACAGTTGATCTGGTTTCCTCTCTATTGCAATCTGCCCCCTTTGCCAAAATGGATTACCTGCCCCATCATTTCATGTCAAAGTCAAGCTTCGCCCTTTTCTCGTGACATTGCCTCTCCAGTGCTCCTCCGTCGCTGGCATAGTGCGCCAGGTTGGTTGCGAGGTCTGCCCACGTCTGACACTCTTCATATCTCCTTTCGTTGTAACAGTCCACGGCCTGGTTGAAGGCCGTCGTTGCAAGCCACTCTAGCTCTTCTGTGGGATAAGGATTTGGGGTCTGGTGGTCCAGAGTCAGTACTGTCCTTTCCTCAGAATCGCCTCGCAGACTCTCACCTCCTTAGCACTCTTGGCCACTCCGATGGCCTGTAAGATGACCTTCTGGCCCGATTCCGCGTCTAACAACCGCACCGCTTGAAACATGCACCGCGTATACTTGGCCAGTTTGTCGCACTTTATGCTCTCAAGCTCCCAAATCTCATTGACGACGATTCCCAGCGTTGAATATAATTCTGCAAGATTGTTAGCCAATATTTGCAGAAGTCTGGTTGGCCGCTTACTGTCACCAGGTAGTTTGCCGCCCAGCGCAAGATCGCCAATTGCCTTCCACGACCTGACATCCTTGCACGACCTCGCGAGCTGAAGGATTTCTCCCAGGCCGTCGTAATCTTTTAGAGCCAGCGCCGCCTCGAAATCAAAAACCAGTAGCGCCGCAAGTTTGATGTTCAAATCCTTCTTGGTGAGGGCGTCTGCTGCTGTTACTTGCACCTGGAAGAGGCCGTCGTACGCCTTGACGTGCTTCCTTGCATCCAGGTAACACTGTAATTGCTTCTCCGTATTATCTTCTGTTCGAGCTATTGAAATCTTGCCGGCTGCCATGACGAAATGACTAAACATGGTGCGGAAGCGGAGGTCCACCATTGAGTCCGTTGGTAGATCCGACGGATAGTGGTTGATAATTTCAAGGCAAGAGGCAAATAGTCGCAAGACAGGATAAAGGTCCCAGTTTGACGAGTTCTTCAGACCAAGGTTGTAAGCGTTCTGGCAAAGCCAGTCCAACTCCCTGACTGTAAACAAACGATGTCCTTCCTTGTCTCTGGGGTCTCTTTGGACTGCTCTGGCAGCTTCACAACGTCAGTGGCGCCAACTTCAATGCTAAAAGATCCATACCTTGTTCGAATAAGCTAGCCACCTCTTCAATACAAGCATTCCGAGCTGAGCTCTTCTCTCCCTCCACAGCCGCCACGGATATTCGAATATTGCTGCGAAGCAGTGCCGGTAGATGTATCGGCGAGTCTTCGTTGAACTCGTGTCTTTCGAGCAGCTGCCTCATGGCCTGCCCTGCGCAAATTTTGTCTCTTGCCTTCTGCGCCTCCAGAACACAGGCATAGAGAAAGTTGGGGTCCTGAGCTGCGCCTGCCCCTATTCGCTCCAGACAATCTGCCGCCAAGTCATGATCCCTGGTTTGGAGTGCAACCTTATACATGAGGTACCGCGTCATGGTCTCGTTTCGTGCCGCCCCTGGCATCTCATGGAATATTTGTCGTGCTCCTTCGGTATTGTTGCGATTCAGGGCGCAGAGGATGAGCTTTCTGCGGTTGTCAGCATAATCAGTTGGCAGTCTTTGGTCATGCATACCTGCAGAGCCTCGACCTGTTGGCCGGCCCTCCGTTCTCAAATATGCTTTGCAACGCGATCCGACACCAGCCCTCGGCAAGTTGGAAGTGGCCTTGGTTGTAGTTGACCTCGATCTTTTTCCACATAATCTATACAATGTCAGCCACTGGCGGGGTTTTGCCGTGAAGTACTCACAGTCAGAGCTGCAACGGCGGCAGACGCGCCGAAAGGCTGCGTCAAATTTGCCTCTACACCTCGCAACACATTCATCAATTCATCGATAGCGAGCTCGCTGTCCCTCTGGCTTTCCTCCATCCATAGCCTCAACAGCACGAGCCTCTCTACCCACTCGTATTGTCCCGAAGAAACAATATTGCTCTTCAGCATTCCATTCACCATACGCAGGGCCATCGACGGGCTTTTGTCGTGAAGCTTGCGCGCATGGTGAATGAGTAACTTGAAATGCGCCTCCGAGAAGTTGAACCGCTGCACCATGTGCTTCAAGATATCTGCATACGCCTCGACGTCAAACACCTCCGCCGGCGCTTTCTGCAGCAACTCAAGACGAAGCAGCAGCACGACCGGCTGCTCTCCAACTTCCTGCTCCACGTAGCTGACCAAATCTTGCGCCTTCTGCAAAGCCTCGGGCGTGTTCATCCCTAGAAGGGCGTGGATATGTGCCTGGCACACGGAGAGGCGCAGCTCGAGCGCCTCCCTCGACAAACGGTCGAGCTCCTGGCTGTTGATGATATCGTACGCGCGCTCGAGCCACTTGACAGCCATTTTGAAGTCGCCCTTCTTGGAGAAGTCCTTGCCAATTTCGAATAGAACCTCCGCCAGCAGTTCGGCAGAGCCGGGGTCGAGCGTCTGGATCGTCGGCTGGCCCTTGTCGTACATGAAGTCGGCAACATTGAGGTTTCCCTCCTTCCAGCACTGTTATACCCCTCAGTTGTCAGCGAACGTACCCATCTTCATTATCAAGATGCTCACCATTGCGGTCCGTAGAATGTAGTACTCCGACTCCAACCTCTTGCACTCCGCCAAATCGTCAGGTCCCAGCATGGTCTGTGTCAGTCTTCCCAGGAGATCGCTGTAATTCGAAGCCTTCAGAAACACAGTGTTGGCAAACTTCGCACCGCAGTCATCTGTACTCTTGTCAGAAACCCCCGTCCCGGCCAGCACCCAAACTAAAACTCACCAAGGCACATCTTCCCAGCCTTCAGCGCCAGCCTCATCAAATGCACCACATCCGCCAGGGGCATCCAGTCCTCCGGCCGCGCATCCTCCGCCACCTTCCAGAACCTCGCAATATCAATCATCAAGAACGCAAACACCCGAGCCCGAAGCAACAACTTCTTCCGCGTCGGCGGCTCTCCGGGCATCTCGTCGCGGCGGAGTCTCGTGCACAGGTTCCATAGCTCTGTCCCCTTCCGATCCAGCTCGTTTCTCTGGCTCCTGGACTTTCCTCGTGGCAGATTGGGGAAGCCGTGGGTGTTGTTGAGCTTCTTCATGAGCTCCTCGTGGAGTGTGTCGATTGCTGGGGGGTCTCGGGCTTCGGGGAGACGCTTGAGGAGGTTGTCGGCGAAGGCTTCGTCGATCAGCACACGGATGGCGGAACAACAGAGTGGTATCACGAACCTATGAGCTGGGTTGTCCTTCCGGCACTCTCTGGCCTGGGAAGGTTTGTTGATGCCGGCCTGGGGGAGTCCCACGGCCTTGGCAGGTCTCTGGGAGGCATACTGGATACTTCGCCTGGCTCCTCGGGGGTGTCGTTAAAATTCGGCTGTGTTGCGATGCAAAATCGAGTAAGAAACTGTTGACGATCGGCAGCACTATGTTGTGGTATTGACCCGTTTGCATCTGGGCGATGATTCGAATCTCAGGCTGTGTATGTCACGACGTTGGGCAGCAAAGTGGCAGAAAGAGAGAAGTCGAATTTTGAACTGGCAGTTGCCAACCGTCCCCGGGAAGGCACGATGAACGATGCACCTTCCTTGCCTCGAAGCACCGAGCCCGGAAGTGGGTCTTCGCAAATCGGCAACCGACCCGGCATGAACCCCACCCGTCCGGTGCTTCCCCGATGAACGGCAATATGTATATATACTGGCCTTTCCGTCGAAACTTCAAAGCCTAACGAACAAGTTCCACCATTCAGAAACGTAGAATGCATCCAAAAATAAAGATAATGCCCTGGTATCCTGACGCCGACCCATTTTTTGTTTCTCCAATCCCAAGGCCTCCGCCACCTTCCCCTTCCCCTCAATCAATGCAATGAATTACGGACGGGCTGGAAGATCATTGGGCAGGAAGTTGCCGATGATGAGTGTAGGGCTATTCAAAGCAATTAGTGAATGGTCCACGCAGGGGGAGTGGACATACTTACATCTTATGATTGTCTCGTTGAATCATGAATGAAAAGCAGCAGTTAATGACCGGATCTGTCGACTTGTCGTCCGGGCTTTTCAGCGTGCAGGCCGTGAGTAACGTATCGTGGGCGGGATCGAAAGCTATCGTCCCAAACTCCTCCCAGTATCGCACCAGAGACTCTTCCGTGAGAATCTCATGCAGAGAGATCTTGCCCTGTACCATAAGTCAGTCAAACACGAAAATCTTCGAGTGCGCAGAACCCGGCAACATACGTCTCTCAAGTTCTCAACCGGCACATGCAGCAGCTCCGCCATCTCATTATTCCCCCTGAAAATCTCGCCCGTCCGCCTCCAACAGCACGCCGGCACCGCCATGCTCGCGAACACGCGGTCGTACTCCATCAGCTGCTTCTCGAACCACATCTCGACGTACAGCAGCTCCATGTCCGTCAGCGCCTGCGCCTTCTCGCGGAACTTGGGCCGGAAGCGGTCGATCGTGCGCAGAATCTTCTGCTTCGACGACGGCGCGATGTGGCTGTCGAGGTAGGTGCCCAGCCGCGCGTAGCCCTTGACGTAGTTGAACGGCTTCAGCAAGCCCGCCTCGTACTTGGCCTTGAGCACGCGGTCCATGCGCTCTTCGGGCGTGTCGTTGCCCGACGGGTCCGCCGCCTGCAGGTAGTACTCGCGCGCCTTGTCCTTGTTGTCGCCCTGGACGACGCTGCCGGGGCGCGATATCGACTTGCCCTGCTCGAGGTTCGGCGGCGGCAGCATCTGCGACAGCGCGTTGGCGGCCGTGGCTCTGTTGCTGTTGCTGTTGGCGGCGCCGTTGTTATTACTGTTGTTGCCGAAGGTGGGCAGCATGTCGTTTGCGCCGGCTGACCTGCTGAAGGCGGGGCTGTTCTGGGACTCGTCGGAGAGGATGCCGCCGTCATCGAGCAGGCTCGTCTGCAGGAAATCGTTGAGCAGGTTGAACTCGTGCGTGACTTCGGGTGCGATCATGTAGTTGTTGGGGTGGTAGCTTTGCATGTCGTGGTAGTGGTTCTGCGCCGTCAACCACGCGTCGGAGAATCCGGCGACTATTTTTCAGGGGTTAGCTTTCTTCTGCCCCCTTGCCATCGCGGCTTTTTGTTGTTTTCGTCAATTCAGAGACAGGCGCCGCCAAGCGCGCGCATCTATACGAAGGAGAGGGAGGGGTAAGCTCAGTAGCAGAGCAGCAGCCTACATTGGTTCATATTGCTGCCGTTGCCCGGCATGCCAGACACCGAGCTCGGTGACACAAGGTGCAGCGGGTTGCCCTGGCCCAAGACAGCAGCGCCAAAGGCAGCGGACGCCTTCCTGTCGAAAGGAGGCGGCGGGCCCATGGACCCGGCCGCGGATTGGTCGATGGAGCCTCGAGCGGCGAGCTCGGTCTGCGTCGACTCGGAGTCGTCAACGGCGGAGGCGGCGTGGGAGCTCTTTGCCTTCTTGGAGTCGGGATCGCGCGGCTCGTCATGGCAGAGGTGGCCAATATTGCGCTTTATGCATCTCGTACACGGTCGTTCCTGGAGCACGACATGGTCAGCAGGCGGTCGAGTTTAGAGATTGGTCGGGCAGGAGGGAGGGAGAGAGCATGGGGGGAGTGGGCTTTTTGGCGCAAGGCAGAATGAAAGAGATCTTACATACGAGATCGCACGTCATATGCTATGTAGCAGGCAAGACACTATCCGTCAGCCATCTTTTCTCTTTCCGCATTGTTATGTTGCTGTTGCTCGCGCAGGGGCACGGCGCAGATGTATGCAAGGCAAGGGTTGGCCGGCTGGCGGAGCATCGCACAGCAGCATCGCAGGCGGACAATAGTCTCAGCGCCATGCGCAAAGGCCAGGGAAGCCAATGCCAATTGTGTCCGTCGGGTGAAGGGCAGTCGGACTTACAGATCGCCGGCAATATACGCAAGCTGGGAGGGGAAGCAGAGGTTAGCTAGTGTAGTCACGCGAGCGGGGGAGCCGGCAGAGGGGACACGATGGACAGCAGCAAACTGCAAGGCGATCGCAGGAAGTGTGTAGACCGGCAGACGTACCATGATTGACCTTGCGGCGCTTCTTGGGGCTCTTGGAAGGCTGAACATGGTTGCCGTTCTCAGGCTTGTCGCGCTTCTCCTTGTGTTCGTCTTGCGACTCGGACTTGACGTCCTTGGCGCCGTTCTTATCCATGGCGGGTCGAGGTTCGGAATCAGCTCAATGGGGCTCCCGCTCCCATTGGACCTTTGAGGTTACGCAGAGACCGAGGGTTCGCAGATCATTTGACGAGGGGTGGTCCTGCGCGTGTTGCTGCGGTTTGCGACTCTGCCGGGGAGGAAGGCGGTTGTTTGCAGGTTCGAAAGGGCGGCGGGAAACCGAGTGGGCGAGGGGGGAGGGAGGCGTTTGCTCGTGCTCTCGCGGCGCGCGTAGGTATGCGTGTGCGGGCAGCCGGATGGAGGCTTGCTCGTGGCTCGGGTAGCCTTGCTCTGTGGAGTAGATGCTTTGAAAATTAGAGATTCTCGTGATCTGGTCGCAGGCTGCAGCGGTGGCGGACTGTGGGCGCCGGGTAGAGACAGGTTCGGTGAGGACGGGGAACCGTTCGGGGCGGGTTCAAATCGCTCGGTGGAAGAATTTCGCGAGATCGTGACCGGGTTCGACAGCCGAGGGTGTGGCGTTCCTTCCGGGGGGGAGGGGTGTGTGTGTTGTGTCTGTTGTTGCACCAGCACGCAGGAATTTGCGTTTGGGTGTCGATGACGCTGATCGGTCCCAGCAAGTCGGATGAAGCTGGAGCAAAGAACAAAAAGAAAAGCTCCGCAACGAGAGATTGAGAGTAGAAAGAAAAAAAGGAAATTTAAAAAGCCGGAATGGCGACTTGCAAAGGAAAGTGGGCTGGCTAAGGTACGAGAACCACAACGACAACCACGGCTATTCCGTTGGAAAAAAACGAGACATCAGGCAGATCGGCCACCCGAGTCCAAGGTCAGAGCCGGTCAGCGCTGGGCGCAACCCCCATTGCTACGTTGTGCTGCTTAGCCCAGCAGGGTCAGGACTCAGTGGAGGCCCCAGGTCGGCAGCGACAAGGGTTCCATTGCAGTGAGGGACGTCCCTCCAGGTATTCGTCGTACCTTGCCAGCTGTGTCCAGGCTTGATGGCACGCCATGAAGGGGGGTGCGTCACGGTCCTGGGGCAGGCAAACCGTAACGTCGCGAGAGGGCATCTCACAGCGAGTCCGAAAAGGTACCTCACGGAACCTGCCCGCTGGAAAACCTTCCTTCCTGGGCGTGACCCACTGTGACTGCGGACAAGCAGCCGTGGTTGATGAACTGGATTGCTTCATGCTGTTGGTGCCGGCAAGTGGCTCAGCACTCCCAATTCGCAATGAAGCTGGGCGAGGGTGGATTTGACCACTAATTTTCATGTCATTTGTACATGATTGAAAGTGACCTGCCTTACCTGCCATTGGTAGCATTCGCCGGCGACACTTGCCCAACAGCTAAAGGTGCCTCAAGTTAGTAGGTTGAGGGTAACACCTCCTCACCACCAGAAATGATATCATCACCGCCATCGAACACCGCCAGCACAGACATCAAATGCAGCTTCCCTAGCCTCGGGCCCTGCCCTGCTCTGCCCTACAGCAGCTAGGAACCCAGCCATCCGTCAAACCTGTGTCTCCAGCTTCTAAACTTGGGCACACTACCGTCGCAATGCAGACATCAATCGCTCTGCGCACCGACAGCGACAGAGACAAGGAACCGCTGGATGGCACAGTGTACGGGGTCAAAAGTCTTGGCTTTTGCCCACTTCCCACTGACAGCACCACTCCGTCCCAAACTCCAGCACATTTTTCCAACCTCTGTCTCCAGTAGCCAAATGCAACAACTTGCAGCAGCGCTGGGGAGGGGTCGCCTGTTGAGAGGTAGCCGCAGCTGGCGATCGTCAATATTCCCCTCGCAGCATGCAATGTAATGTCAGCATGAAACCGCAGCCCGCCATTCGGTCCAGAGCCTTTCACCTTCTGCGACTTCTCGGTGACGGACAAGTCCCTCGGTAAACATTGCAAAGCTCAATTGCTGCTTCCCTCCCTCCGACCCAAACAAACAACCCCTCATCATCCCATCTTTTAACCTCGTCCTTCACGGGCCACAGCCTGGACTTGGCGATTTGGGGCAACCTCAGAAGAGGAGCACAACCCAGCCCTGCCGGCCCATCGTGTGATGCTTTTCCGTTTCAAGTGTAGCTCGGAGAATGGGGGTGTACTATGTACCTAACCTTGGGGCACCCGCTGCTTGCTGACTGTGTACTGCGTTGCCTATGCGAATTCAATTGCGCCTATCAAATGTCCATGTTCTTTCTACCATAACCCGTGCAGAAAAACAATGGCTCCGTCTTATCTCATGTCGGAAAAAAAGAAAAACAAATGTACCTCAAAGAACTCCCATTATTTCCATTCCCCCTCATTCCAAGAAAACCCCATACATACTTGGCGCCGCCTCTAAATGGCTACAAAAAAGCTCTTCTCCCCCTCCTTCGGCAGCACCCTCGCCCTCCTCATGATGGGGTCCTCGCAGCTTAGCCGAATCCTCTCGGGTGTCGCCGGGCTCTCCAGCCTGAGTAAGCCGTCGCCCACCCGGTCTTCCCCGACCGTCGCCTGCACCCCGTACTGCCTCCTCGCCGCCTTGAGCGCGTCGCGGATGGCGAAGAACACCGCGCTGCCCATGAACAGCGGCGGCTCGCCCACCCCGCGCGACCGCTGGATCGTCCGCAGGTCCTTCCACTCCACGTCCTTGAGCAGCGACACATTGAACTCCTGCGGGATGTCGCGGAACCCGGGGATCTTGTACGCCCCCGGCCCGCGCGTGAAGAGGTTGCCCGCCATGGGCCCGTTGCGCAGCCAGAGCGACTCCTCCATCGTGAAGAGGCCGAGGCCCTGCACGAACGCCCCCTGGATCTGCCCGTAGTCAATCGCGGGGTTGATCGACTGCCCGACGTCCATCTTGATGTCGGCCCGGATGCAGGTCCACGTGCCGGTGAGCGTGTCGATCTCGACCTCGGCCGCCGTGACGCCCTGCGTGAAGTAGAAGAACATCTTGCCGCGGTTCTCGCCCCAGGTGTACCCGATTTCCGGGGTCTTGTAGAATCCCTGTGCCGAGAGGTTCACTCTGTCAAAGTAGGCTGCGTGCGCCAGGTCCTTCATGGTCGCCTTCGGTCCGAGCTTCTCACGGTATGGCGCCAGTCGTTCATTCAGCTGCGCGCAGGCATTGTAGATGGCATATCCGTTCAGATCCGACGAGGCAGATGCTGCTGTCGCCGAGGCGTTCGCGACCGTGTTGGTCGCAGTCTCTGAGATGAAGACATTGTCCAGCGGCACTTCGAGTGCTTGCGCTGCAATCTGCGTCATCTTGGTGTGCAAGCCCTGACCCATCTCAGTTCCACCGTGGGCCACGAGAACTGATCCATCGTGGTAAATGTGAACGAGAGCGCCGGCTTGGTTGAGGAAGAGAGCTGTAAACGAGATACCAAACTTTGTCGGGATGAGTGCCAGCCCACGCTTGCGCCACTTGTTATCGTCGTTGAACTTCGTAATCATCTCCCTCCGCTGCTCGTATTTGGACTCTTCCTGCACCTGCTCATACATCAACGGTACGTGCCAATCTGTAAGGGGCTGGTTGAAATGCGTAGGCTCCAGCGGCTTGTAGAAGTTGATCTCGCGGAACTTCTCAACCGGAATGCCCATGCGATCTGCCACCTCTTCCATGTACGTCTCCGCGATGAACATGCCCTGCGGTCCTCCGAATCCTCGGAACGCTGTGTTTGACATCGTGTTTGTCTTGCACAGGCGTCCGCGGATGAAGACATTCGGGATCCTATAGCAGCCATCGCTGTGTGACATGGCACGCTCACACACAGCCGCACTCAGGTCGAAACTCCAGCCGGCGTTATTGAAGACATCCAGATCCAAGGCTTGGATCTTGCCATCCTTGTTTACACCAACCTTCCATCTGCCCAGGAACGGGTGGCGCTGGCCGGAGGTGACCATGTCTTCCTCTCGGGTTAACATGTATCGGCAAGGTCGCTTGGTCTTCTTTGCTGCGAGTGCTAATGGTGCAGTGACCTGGACTGATCTCGTTTCTTTGCCGCCGAACCCACCTCCCAAACGCTTAACACGAACGACAATCTTGTTGGCTGCCACTCCAGTCATGCGAGCAACAAATACTTGTCTGCTAGGGTTTAGTCTGAAGAACAAAGCTTCCCATGGGATGTTTGACTTACGTTTCGTTGGCATTCTGGGTACCAGAAAACACCTCCATCTCTCCATCTTCAGGCTTGGGAACAACCAGCGAAGCCTGAGTCTCGAGGTAGAAGTGCTCCTGGCCACCCATTCTCGCCGTACCCGTGAAGATGTGGTCGCAATTCTTGAACGCCTCCTCGGTATCTCCATTCTTGATCTCGCGGTAGTAGTTGTGGAAGCTATCCTGCTCGATGGCCTCTTCGATTGACAGAATTGTTGGCAGCTCCTCGTACTCGACCTTGACGGCGCGAGCGGCCTCAGCGGCTCTGTTTGCTGATGTAGCAAGCATCATAGCGATCGGTTGTCCAGCAGTAAAAACCTCTCCCTCGGCGAAGAAGGCCTCGTCAAAATGCGGTGCGCCCCATCGGTTCTGTTCCGGTGTTTCAACGTCGTTGATGTCGACGTAGTCCACCACACCTGGCATGTCAAGGGCCGCAGAGTAGTCGACGGACTTGATCTTAGCGTGTGCCTTGCTTGACAAGACAAAGCACCCATGCAGTTCGTTCTTGAGGGAAGGGATGTCGTCGATGTACTGTGCCTCGCCAGTTACCTGCTTCAGCGCCGCAACGTGGCTCTTGGACCTGCCGACAGTCTCCTGCTCGTACGCAACAGCCGCGTCATGATCTTCATGTCCGCCAGAGATACCTCGCTCAATTTCTTCAATCGCCTCCTTGTCGACGTGCTGGCTCTGGGCATCCATGGCTGCGAGAACGTCGTGGTAGAAGCGGTAGAAGAAGCTGAGCGCCAGGGCCTTTCGATATGAGGCCATGCCTCCGGGCACGCTGAACTGAAGGTTAAAATCTTCGCCGAGGGCGTCCATCGCACCCTCCAGTGTTTCCAACTCGGCGATACGCTTGCCAATGAGGTACTCCATGGTCTTCTTTGCTGCCACAGTCATAGCAGC